AAAACTGTACAGACCGAATTTCGATATGTCTTTTCGTTTTCGAGAAAATTCAACATTCACCTAAGTCGCATGCGTATCTTATGTGTATGTACGAGTTTTTACGCTTGCTCGAATAAATGGGTTGGTAATTCACTCTTGACTTTTGCTATTGACAGGTTGTATGACTGATAGTAAAAACACATCTATGACACATACCTATCTTATGTGTATACACGGTTTTGTTCCTTACATTGTTTTCAGATTGTGCAAAATATTCGGATTTTCAGACTTGTAAAATTTTCGGGATCGATAGACCATATCCTCCAGGATGAGACTGGTATCGGAGACTGTAGAGTAGGGTCTGATTCCGGAAATTAAAACATTTTCTAAGTCCCACGCTGGAAAATATTTTCGGAAAATGACCCTCCTCCGATCCGTAGCGGACCGATGCGATTATTTCACACTATCGAAGATCGGAAAACTGTACAGACCGAATTTTGATACGACTTTTAGTTTTCGAGAAAATCCAACTTTTACCTAAGTCGCAAAGACCATCTCTTCCAGGATGGGACTGGTATCAGTGACTGCAGAGTAGGGTCTGATCCGGGAATTTCAATTTTTAGCGGTGTGCGCTTGGAGATATGTATCCGAACCTTATGTTTTGGAATAAGCAACTGGGATTGTATATTGCAATTTCAGTTTGATGAATCGAAAACTTGTAAAATTTTCGGGATCAATAGACCATTGCCTCCAGGATGGGACTGGTATCGGTGACTGGAGAGGAGGGTCAGATTCGGGATATTAAACAATTTTCTAAGTCCTAAGCTGGAAAATATTTTCGGAAAATTCTCCTCCTCCGATCCACCCCAGCCCGACCCGATTCTTTTATACTATCGAAGATCGGAAAAGTGTACAGACCGAATTTTGATACGACTTTTCGTTTTCGAAAAAATCCAACTTTTACCTAAGTCGCATGCGTATCTTATATGTATATACGAGTTTTTATGCTTGTTTGAATAAATGGATTCTTGACTTTTACTATCGACCGGTTGTATGTCTGATGTTATAAACACGTCTATGATACATACCTATCTTATGTGTATACGCGGTTTTCTTCGTGGCCTTCGTAGATTGCGGTCCTCGCTCCGTCCAGAGTTCAAAATTCATCGTGAAATAGCTGTCTGTTCGTGGATCGGACAACGACGTGACGACTGGCTCTTAGTTTTTTACGGATCAAGGGTATCAGAAAAACTTAAAATTTCATTGCAGGCTCTCAACCATTGATCGCAAGGACTCAAAGAAAGTCTGAAGCTTCGCAGATACCCTGAGCTATACTAAGTGGATCTATCGCGAGATGATAAATGTTCGACGTGGAATATCTGTTGATTCGTGGGTCGCTGAATACTTTTAGGATCCTTATTCACTTTTTTTTTTGGATCAAGGGTTTCAGAAAAACGTAAAATTTCATTGCGGATAGCCTGGGGTCATAGGAAACGCTCATTGACAGTGATGATTTTTATTTTCTCGCTCCCCTAGGGTAGAGGGGAAGTATTGTCATCCTCCGAGAAAAAAAAAGTTGAAATTTCATCATTTTTAGACGTTTTAAGGTCCCAGGAGTAAAAATAACCATACTTGAAAAAATGTGTGTCCGTCTCCGTCCGTCCGATCCCAAATCGGTGTACAGCGATATCTCAGAATCTATCTATTCGATTTCATTCAAAATTGGCACAAAACACCATATCTATGGTCTCCTTATGCACGTCAAACGATTTTGAGGTACGCTAAAATTTGGGGTTGCTACGCTAACTTGTCCATTTTTAGCAAAATCACACGGAAAGCTTATTTTGAGGGACTGTAAATTTTGAAAAATGCCTTTAATTCTTTAAAAGTGGGCATCAAGCACATCACCTGGGTCATTGATTTAAGGTCCTAAAAGATCTTTAGACTAAACTCAAAATTCAAGGGATTACGAGGCCCAAATGTAGGGCACTTTGCCCCGAGACATCACACAAACAGCTCATTTTCAAAGACTGTAAATTTGAAAAAAAATGCCTTTAATTCTTCGAAAGTTGGCATAAGAGTACCACCTGGTTCATTAATTTATGTTCCTATGAGGTCTTTGGACTAAACTAAAAATTGAAGGGTTACGCGTCATATAGCGAGGAGAGCACTTCGGTCACACGGAGAGCTCATTGACGGTAGATTTTAAAAAAATGTCTTTAATTCTTTGAAAGTTGGCTCAAAAGCACCACCTGAGTCATTAGTTTAAGTTCCTAAAGGATCTTTGGACTAATCTCATAATTGCAGAGGGGCCGATAGGAAACGCTCAATTCTCCGATAAATGAGTCGGAACGATATTAGCAGCAAACGCTTTGAGTCAGGTGAAACCTAGGAATTCAAATGCATTATATAATATGCATTATAATATCTCCAAAATTACTCCGTAGGTATACACCAAGCAAAATTAGACAACTAATTAGGTACTTACATTACATACTATGAATCATCGAAGCTAACGCAAGAACTGACACTTAGATCTTTATTACAAACTAATATGATTGTTGTTAATGAATTTCGAATCCCGGCAGATTCCATCTTTCGCGGTTCCTTTTTACGAGGTACTGAACACAAGTATAACATAATAATACTGCACAAACATGATCGATTTAATGATTGATAATAAAGCGCGTTATAACCTGTCCAGGTTTGTTGACGTTTTTGTAGAGAGTATAGAAGATTAGAGGCCGAACTCAATGATCGGTAATTGAAACAGAAGTGCTCGCAGCGGGCTCGCCGGCAACGCACGTAACTACTATTTCCTATGGTTTCCTAGTGACTAGCGGCGGGTATGTTGCTGCTGGACCACCTCCACGTAGGCAATTTTTTATACATCGTCCGTCCGCATCTCTCGCTTGGCCAATCAGCGCAGTGGTATGGGAATCCCGCTCGTCGCGCACTCTCGCGCAGCTGCTTACTCGCGGCTCAACTTCAGTTTCAATTATTCCCTATATCCAGTCGGGCCTCTAACCTTCTATACTCTCTGCGTTTTTGTTGATACACGGGGATACGAGCATTAAGGAGGTGGCGCTCTCGGCGGGCGGGTGGTGAAAAATTTCCAGTTGGGAGATTTGCCCGCCAAATTTAAAATTTGGGCGATGCTAAGCGAAAACAGTTTAGGTTTAAGACTATTTAAACATCGAATAGTCATTCTACCCATTAAAGTAGATTTGTGATGGCTTTTGACCGTGCATAAGGAAAGATTAGAATATATAATCGTATCTGAAGTATGATGTCAATGAATCTAATGGATACTAATGAATTTTAGAAAAGCTAAGATTTAAACGGATCGCCGTCTTTAATAGGAGGAATCATTAATCAATTACATATTTAATTGAAGATGCCTCATAATATCGACAAGTCGAGTCCGAATATATAAATTTATCCTACCTTTATCACGAAGGCATTTACGATAAAGTTTGGTGGTTTGAATAAAAATATCATAACTATTATCCTGCGATCAAAATTCCAATCAAACTTTATGATTATGTGAAAAAGGCAGTATTTTTCGAAATATCTCAGTAATAGTGGCTATAAATAGTTATAATAGTTTTATTATAGTGGGCCCTATAATAAAAACCTTGCGTAAGCTACTGAAAAGGGGGGGGGGTAAGGTCTAAGTTTGGCTCACGGGGTCTTACGAAGGGGGGCGGGGGTCAATTCAAGTATTAGTGAGCCTCTCACTTTCAGAAAAAATAATAATTTTGAATAGAAACAAAAAGTCACCACTTTTCACACTTTCTCTGTCACTTTCTGGAAAATTGGGTTGAGGGGGGGATCAGGGCAGTTACTTGATTCCAAAGGGGATTGAAATGTAGTTGTACTGTTGCCTCACAAAGGGTGGAGGTTTAAAAAGTCGTCCAAAAAGCAACAAAAAGCCGTAAGTATTACATGAATCGCTACCAGAGCGAATTATTGAACAGTTAAACAATAAAGCGAAAACTGGCAACTATGGCGCTTTAGAAAAAAGCCTTTATAATGGAAATGATTGATTTTGGTCGTAAGTAGACGAGCAGGGGTGAATTAACCGTCACTGCCATTATGTGCCACCTAAAATCGCCAGTTCACGATTCAAAACATAGGTGGCCGCGCGTCGACCCGCTCCGTTTTTGCGCTTTTGCTCCCTCAATTTTAAAGATGAACCTATGACGTAATATACCAAATCAACGCTAAAAGAACGATCTACAACTTTTACTGTAGAATATTTTTCGATCCGGGTCTTCATAAGGACGTAAATACGGAAAATGCCTGTCAATAATTCTCAATTTTCAATTTCTTTCAATTTTACTCACCTTTAAATTACTTTGACATTTAAAACTATAGTTTATTCGAAAAGTAGACTCAATTACCTACAGTTTCAAAACAAAAATGAGCTCTCCAAGTTTATTTCTCGCTCCGCAGTGAATTTTTGAAAATATGTCCAATTTTCAACTTCATCGGACTACTGTGCGAAATCCCCCGAGGGGATTTATGGGGACTTTTGGCTAAAAACACCTTTTCATATGAAGAATCGATTGGGCCTAAATCCGGCCGTATTTTAATTTTTGGCCGGAATCGGCCCCTATACGCCTTCGTTTACTGTACCTAATCCTTCGAAGTTTATATTAATGATGATGTCGTATCAGTTGATATATGGTAGCAAGTGACATTTCACATCTTTTGATACTTCTAACTGCTACCACTTATCAGTTCACATCAGTTGAAGCCATCAACTGACCCGATCTCGATTGGTGTCTACTGATGCTCCGCGCCAAAACACCGTTGACGAACTGATACACCGTCAACTGATCATTTTTAACAGGGCCAGCGAGGTCCCTCGTCAAGAAGGCAGCCGCGCGCAGCCACCGCCGTCGCGTCGTCCGTGAAAGATGACTGCTCGCATCTAATCACCTGATTGGAGGATAGAAAAATTAGCCCAAGCATTCCCTTTAAACAAATCTAAATTATATAGAGTATATCCTTACCTCTTGAGAGTTCTGAAACAAGATTTGATGTTGCTGCTGATTCACTAAGTCTCTCCTTTCGGCAAGTGGAAGGAGAAACCTACTTATACCAAATTGAAGGCACAAAGCATACTCTTGCTCAATATTCAGCAGCAAGTTAGCTGCAGATTCTCTTCCCTGTAAAAGGGATACAACAGAGGTAGTTTGTTACCGTGGCAAACACTAAAACTTTAATGAGCGAACAGAGTGAAAGCATGCTCTATATTTTTTGTTTTCAGTAAGTCACATATGTGTTTAGTTCACAGATATTAGTTACCTACGATAACATCTTCAGTAACGCAATGCGTGCGATCGTATTTATAACCCATGTTTTTTTCTCAACAAAATAGGGGTGATGAGTTCTGGTACTTGTTTATATTAGACTTAATCTCAGATTTGAGTTTTTCCTTGCATCATAATTTTGGGCAGATTAAGTAGGTAGTAATGTTAATAATGTACCTACTGCATTCTGCAAGCAGAATCTACTAATACCAAGTGCAATGCTGTTAAGACTGTGCAAAGTTCATTTTGCAAGAGAACCTTGAAAATTTAAACAGGCTCTATTCACAAACCGAAAAGATATTGAGTAAATTCGAAAATTATTCTATGAATACCGGGGATGGTTCTGCTATTAGTTTACCTTAAACTTTGAAGATATGAAAAGTTACAATTAAGGCAATTTCTAATGGCGAACTGTAATTCAAACATTCTATAATAAAACGTCAAATTACCAGAGCCGGATCCAGCAATTTGGCAACACCGGATTTTCTCCATTTAAACTCACGTAAATAATCGATTCTTGTCGGAGCACCTGGCCCCACTATAAGAATCGACACACTTCCATAGGTTCCATAGGTTTCCATGGAGGAAAGACAATGTTGCCAATTTTGCTGGATCCGCCATAATGCAAATTACTCATTTGAAAATGATCAAGTTCCGTAAAATTGCAAGTGAGTGATCTGTTCAAGACGTCATTGAACAATAGACGAGATAGTACCTACGATGAGTATTGCCCTGCTTTCAAAACGAAAAACCTTCAAAAAGCATAACTTTGAACCATTCCCGTGAACACGAAGTGAAAAGGATTTCTTTATCTTATTACCATTCTTTATTCCATTCCTCAATGGCCTCCAACATCTACCATGACTTAACCATAATTTTGTGCTAATTTTGTGCTATTTTGTGCCGCAAAAAGAAAATTTTATGCTCCAAAATTAGGGGGGTTAAATACCATTTCAAATTGGGGGGGGCTGTAGAAACGATAGCCCCCCCCCCACTTTAGAATTTCGAGAAAAAAAGCACGTCATAATTTTGTGCTAATTGTGTGCTATTTTGTGCCGCAAAAAGAAAATTTTGTGCTCCAAAATTAGAGGGTTAAATACCACGTGAAATTGAAGGGGCGGGGACTGTAAAACAAGTTAGCGCTCCGTCGGAACCCGAATCTTCCGCCCCGGAGACGCAGGCTCGCAGGTAGCCGGAACCTTCGGCAGCGCATTGTGGTCACATCTCTCTCCGCTTTGACTTCTGCCCTTGGAAGCGGACGGGAAGGGCCAAGCACCGTGGCAACTCAAGAAAGATCCGGGCGGGAGATCCGGCGCTCTTTGCACGGGATATTTAAACAGAGAAATTTATCCTAATCATTAAGGAGCCTTTTCGGGGGTTATATACCGTTGAGTGTCAGCGAGCTCCAAACCGAATGTTGTTCTACTGTTATTATTTTGCACGCTACCGATTATTATTTACTTAATCGAACAGTTTTCAGAAATAAATTATTGGCTTTCATTTCATAGCAACAACAATTTTGACACGTATTCAGCGAAACATATCATAAAAGAACAATTTTTAAGTAATGTTTCAGAAAATGTGTTATAGTTGATTTCAGGACCTCCAAAATCTAGTTAACATTACCTCACTAGAATGCGCCCTGTGCTCTTTTCCAATTTTTAATAACAAAATAAATTTTTCCACCATTTTTCTTTAGGTGCCGATGTTTGGTTTGAAATAAAGTGCCCACACAATGTAGATGTATATTTTTTAATAATGCTTTATTTATTTCAAAAAGCACTCAAGTTTCCGAAATTTCCTTTTTCGGTAACGCTTATAGTCTGTCCCAGATACGAAGAGCTCTGGAAAATCGGAATAATTTGCACGATGTAGAAGCAAGGTATCGTTCGTTCTATTGATACCCGTCTAATCACCGAGCCAACCCCGCACCGCACAGAGGGCTGGTTACGAGCTCCGCGGCGCGGCGGCGCCTTGCGTCGGGAATCCGCTCCTGGGTCCCGGGGAAAACCGGCCTCGTGCATCGCGTTAGTTCAGATGAACACTATCTAGCTTCTTATTGGTGGATGGTAATCAATTAATAAGGGATATAACGCAGTCCATTCTGTGCTTAATTCGCACTCGCATTCTGAACTTTACTGGAGGTAAAAATGGAGGTAAAACCTTTGGCCAGAGGAGCGACGATTAATGTCAACAATCAGGGATTTAAATCGCCTATCCCGGTCTGGAAATGCGAAGGGAGTATGCGTTGCCTCGAGGTGGCTTGCGACCCTCTGTGCGACGCATGTGAGAGGCGACGAGATGACAGGTGACGAGGGTCGAGGCACCCCAACCCGCCAAATAGTGCTAATTACTCTGATTTTCCAGAGCTCTTCGTATCTGGGACAGACTATAGCTCTAGCGTTCTACTGGGTTGATTTTCATGATTTTTGCAGATATCAACAGGATATCAACTGAGCCTGCTTACAGAGCCTCATTTATGAGGCTGGTTTATGGTGTTATGCCATCGGGCGGCTAATTTCGGATTTTTCGTGGGTTTTTTTTTTAGTGGAAGGGGAGTTCATGTTTCAAATTTGCCTTTTACGTATTACAAATCCTCGTTCCTTGAAAAATCATTTCCCCTTCCCTTAAATAATCGTTTGCAACACTTTCCTGCACAAATGCGCAACCTTCTCACTACACTAGGATGTTCCGTTTTTAGACAACCATCTCAAAACCTTGCTCCCCGGGCTTTTTCCTATTCCTTTTGGTCCCCAAAATACAAATCTGAAGTTTCAGCACCATAGCTGAAGTCTACACTTTCCCCCAAAGCGATGAAAATTTTGGGCGCAATTACATTGGTTTAAATGGGGAGAAAATAGGCCGATTTGCAGAACTACGTTTTTCGGTCTTAAAATGCGCCGAAATGATTTCAAACCTGACCATCTCTTGAGAAGTTGTCCAGAGGCCTATTTTGAATGAGAAAATTCCACTTTTGACCCAGAGATGGGGGGAGGGGGGTCACGGCGCAGTTAGTTTGGAGGCGTTGCGCGCAGCAAAATGATAGCATTTGACAGTTTTTGATCAACCTCAAAACAGGCCCTCCGAAGCTGAGGAGGCTAATATATCTCATAAATTGTAATAAAATAATGTACAAGAGTTGTTTTCATCCCTTCAGAACTATTTCAACCATTTACACTGTTGCCAAAATCACTCAAGTGCAGAACATGATATACACTAATTTCCTTCCAGTTTCGAGTAAATTTTGGCAACAGTGTAAATGGTTGAAATAGTTCTGAAGGGATGAAAACAACTCTTGTACATTACCCGAGAAAAAATGGATCATTCAAGCTCATTGAAAAATGAACGATCCGGATCATTCAATTTGAATGAGTTTTTCGTCAGCTCATTCAAATTTGAATGATCCAGATCGTTTACTTGATCATTGAATTTTAATGCGCCCGAATGAGCTTGAATGATCTTGATCATTGAATTTCAACGAGTTTGAATGATCCTGATCGTTGAATTTCAACGAGCTTGAATGATCCTGATCATTGGATCTCAACGAGCTAGAATGATCCGGATCATTGGATTTGAACGAGCTTCAATGATCCGGATCATTCGATTTGAACGAGCTTGAATGATCCGGATCATTGGATTTCAACGAGCTTGAATGATCCGGATCATTGGATTTCAACGAGCTTGAATGATCCGGATCATTGGATTTCAATGAGCTTAAATGATCCGGATCATTGGATTCCAATGAGCTTGAATGATCCTGATCATTGAATTCCAACGAGTTTGAATGATCCTGATCGTTGAATTTCAACGAGCTTGAATGATCCTGATCGTTGAATCCCAACTAGCTTGAATGATCCTGATCGTTGAATCCCAGCCAGCTTGAATTCTCCTGATCGTTGATTTCCAGTGAGTCAAGGTCTCGGTCTGATGAGAATCTATCATAAAAAGATTGTAAATAGTATAGAAGCAAAAGTACATGGATATCCATTCTCACTTTGCAGTTTTTTTTCAACAGAAAAATGAGGGGGAAAAAACCAAAAAAACATATGATGATAGGAAAAGTTAAAAAAACACAGACTCACCAGAAGTTTATCCAATTCCTCCTGAAGTAAGCTCATCCTCCGCCCTATTACAACAACAGTGTAAATGTAGGTACTATAATAAAAGTAGTTTGAAGGTGAAAATTTTTGCTACAAACCATCTACCACACGCTGTCAAGAATTCAAACCACACAACAGTCATTGTGGGAGAGGCTCGTAGCTTTGCCGCCGAGTTGCAGAGCTGCTGCGGGGATTCTTTCCATCGACCACTGAAAAATTTAACTAAAATGGAACATATTAAATTAACAGCATAACCAGAAAAATGTTGAATTGAAGAATTAACCGCGCGTTTAGAATTGCATAAGCGATGTCGCTGTTTTACTCTGATTTAAAAGAAAGAAACAAGCAAAAATTACATTGGGATATAGGGGTATAAAATTGACTTTGTCTCTGAAATAATTAATTTACCTTAGATTGTGCTTTGAAGTGAAATAAGGCAATAGTACTTACAATTTTGTGCTTGCGTGTTTGTTCAAATGAAGCGTTATCGATGGAGAAAATATTGAGGTAAAATTGTGTCCTCGGAACACAAAGCAGTGCATTTGATGGCTGGAGCACAACTCACAGGTATGAGGTAAGTTTATACTGATAACTTGTTAAACAGTCCAGCGAAAAAACAATAAATACATAGAATTTAAAGCAACACAGACGAAAAATCTGAGCAGCGACACGCTAATGATACGCAGGCAGCAAAACATGGCAAAACCTGAGCAAAACTGATCAGACCAAGTGGCGAACACCGCGACCCCTCGGCCG